TTGTGCAGATGGCAAAATGAAGTAATCACAGAGGAAGGCCTCTGAGACATTGACATCTGCCCTCTGTCTTCTCTCATCAGCAATGATATTTTACTCCCAAGAAGATGCGAAGGGAATGAGTTTCTACTTAACTACAACCATCTAGAATTTCCAGTGCAATATTCCAGCTCAGCTTTAAATAAAAAGCCTGTCCACAACCATTTGAGTCAAGAGACAAATAAACTGTCTGGACAAGCTGGTAATCAGGGAGAAAAGATATTTTCTTCTCGCTCAGCTAAAAATAGAAGCAAATATGAGGAGGGTTAAGGTTCTGACCTGCATAAAAAATGACTAGCTCCTCTCTCATTGCAATCTGGAGGAAAAAACCAAATACTCCTTGCCTTGGCAAGGGGCCGCTGTGGAAGATAAGTTTGGAGATGGGTTTGTCAAACTAGAACAGGTAATGAGAGAAAACCAGCATGTGTGTGAACACGTGCAGGTGTACATGCGTGCACAACGAGGAGTTGATCAGAATGTTTGGTGGATGCTGTGTGTCTACTAAGTTCCTATCAATGTAAAATCTTAGATGCAGGAGCTGAGGCCCCAACTCTTATGAGACATTTTAGGTCCTTTGCTACAAAGTCAATGCCTTGCCTGGACCAAAGCAGACAGAGTTTTCAGAAGGAACACCATCCTGCACCCAAACACAGAGCCCTTATCCCTCTCAAAGACAGATACAGTTCCAATAATATAACCATCCCCCTTGAATATCTTTCCTCCCCACTGCTCTACGTCTCTAGAGAGCAGCGTAAGGATAGCTGGGGCCACAGGTGGATTTTAGGGACTAGCCCTTGTCAATTTAGGGGTTACAACTTATGGTTCCCTTTGAATTACAGAGCTACATTCAACTGCTGTTGAAGAAATTAACTTAGACTTCATTGTCAAGGTGTAAGGTAGACAGAAGAAAGCTTTTCCCATCTTTTTAAAGACAAAGCATTATGTAAGTAGCACCTTGCACTTGTCTGCAAAGCATGACAGCACAGTCTTCCTAGAGTGAGCAGGTGAACCAATCCCTGGCTACATCCTTCTCAGATCCATGAAAATTTCTCAAGCAGCTAGAAGCAAATTTCAACAGTAGAAAATTAGAGATTTTTCCAAAGCAAAAATCCTGACTCCTTATATTCTGCTGAATTAACTGAACATCACTTCTCCAACTTCAGAAGTTATGCTTATTGATAAAGTGCTATGTGTGTTACTACAGGGACACAGCCACATCAGTGTTTATAGCAGCACAATTCACAATTGCTAAACTGTGGAACCAACCTAGATGAATGGATTAAAAAATGGGACATATATACACAATGGAATATTACTCACCAATAAAAGAGAATAAAATCATGGCATTTGCAGGTAAGTGGATGGAGTTCAAGAAGATAATGCTAAGTGAAGTTAGCCAATCCCAAATAACCAAATGCCAAATATTTTCTCTGATGTAAGGAGGCTGATTCATAGTGGGATAGGGAAAGGGAGCATGGGAGGACTAGATGAACTCTAAATAGGGCACAAGGGTTGGGGGGGAAGGGAGGGGTTATAGGGTTATTAATGATGATGGAATGTGATGATCATTATTATCCAAAGTACATGTATGAAGACATGAATTGGTGTGAATATACTATGTATACAACCAGAGATATGAAAAATTGTGCTCTATATATGAAATAAGAATTGTAATGCATTCTGCTGTCATATATAAATTAAATTTTAAAAAATACTATATGTATAACACATACTAGAACCCAAGATTTACAGCTCAGAATTGCTGCCTTCTACTCTTGGGGAGAGCAGTGCAGGTAACACAGTAGAAAGGGAAGGGTCTGTTTAGAAGTCTTCTATCCACCATCCATGTCACCCACAGAGATAAGGATAAAGATTTTTATGAAGGCACTCTATTATATATTATTATAATATACAAAGTTTACTATAGTATATAATACATATTATAAACTTTGAAGCCTAGAGCAAGTAAATCTATGGCCAAATTTAGTGAACTGGAGACCAAGACAACTCCTTCAGCAAACCATGATACATCTTCTAGGAACATCCTTAAAGCTGGGAAATGACTTCCTGAGAATTAGTGAGCATCTCTATGTGGAGCCCTGTACCATCAACTAGGAGACATTTGCAAATCTCCTCAATAATCCCCATTGCCCAGACACCAGCCTGTCACTTCCCGGCTCTGCCCAGGCTCCATAGGTGAGATCTATAAAAGGGGTGCAGCACTAATAGCTCCTTGTCACTGTAGCAGGTTCCAGTCCCGAAGGCACAGAGAGAAGGGCCAGCTATTATTAAACCTTGAAATTTAGATACTGAGCTTAAATGCTCTCCGTTCACTACAGACCGGTTTACTCACTCACTCTGTATGTAGAGAGATGGGTCTTGGAGCAATGGGAACTGATTATGTACCCAAAGGAGAGGCCAGAGGCTACCAGGCTATCAAGGTCCTAGCTCGTTCATTAGAGGCTACCTGTATAGGTAAACAATCCCTCATATGAAACCTTATGATCAGAAGAGTGTCAGAATCCAGATTTTGTTTTTAGTTTTTAGAAAGCAAATATAGTAACATTCCCAGCAGGGCCTGGGGAAGCATCCTATAGACTCATTTTTTTTTTGTACCAATCTTCAATTGGTCAATCAAATTAGATATAAGATAAAATCTGAAATTTTCAAGGATGGGAGATTTGGCACCATCTGTTTCACTTTCCTCCAAAAGACTTCTAAACCCAGCCATTCAGAGGCAAGAACCCTCAGCAGGAAATAAACAATGCAACTGCCAAAACCCCAGCAGACCTTCCCGGACTCAGGGGGGCCATGGGACAGAGCAGCTGAGATCCAAACAGGTTCATTTAGAGAATTCCTGACACAGTAAATGCTTCTAAGCTGAGCTTCCCTAGCCACAGAACCCGGAAAGAAAATGATTCCACAACATTCTCCATGGGAGAATCAGAGTTTCCAAGACCCCAAGACTTTTCTGAGGTGGAGGCAAATAGTATATCCTATCAGACCACAGAGGGACCAGTCCACAGTAGCAGACCCTATATTTCAGAGCCTTGATAACCTGTGACTCATAACTCTACAGGGTGCTGAGCAAATCATGCTGTGATCTTTCCACCATTGAGAAGCAGAAAGAACGCCTCCTAGCTATCATATCTCTCTGTCTATTTAAACACCAACATGCCTGAAGCTTTGCCTCCTACCCTGTTGTCTTCTCACTCTATGATGTTCCCTGGATCACTGAACCTATAAGCTCTATGCCCTTGATGCTCACATCTCAATCATTAGTTTTCTCTGTTCCCCATCACCAACTCTTTTTTTTTTTAAGGCACTAGGGATCACACCCAGTGGTGCTCTACCACTAAGCTATATCTCCAGTCCCTTTTTAAAAAGTTTTTTAGATTTGAGAAGGATCTTTTTTTCTTAATTTTTTAAATTTATAATTTCTCATTTTCAGAGTGTACATGTTGCATACTCAGAATCATATTGGTCATGCAGTCACATAGTAGAAAGAAACAGACATTATTTATATATCTTTCCTATTCCCACATCTCCTCCCCTCCCCTCCCCTCCCATTACTTCCCTTCATACATTTGTCACAACAAAACCCAGAATCAACTATCACATTTTGATTTGCATGTGTAGCCCAACATGTGTGCACCTCTTTTTGTCTCCCTGTATTCCCAGTGTTTTGCAAATAACCAACACCTAATATGTCTGATGCACTGAAGGAAAAATCAGAGCCTTTTCACTAAGTGACAAGAAAACTCCAAGTCAGGGTTTCCCTCTGCACCACAGTGTTCTCAGCATTGTGCAAGGTTCTGCAGGTAGGGGGTGGCAAGAAGAGTAAAAGATACTCTCCCTCTCCTTTATTGCTTTTATCTTTAGATCCTCTGCACCTTATTATCTCCCATCCTTATGAAAGGACAGCTCCTAGTCAAAAAGCACATGGTCTTTTCAGGAACTATCAGCTAAAACACCTCTCAGAAAGATCAAAGAGGAGATTTTTTAGTGATGAGATTATAGCAGCACTCTTTCCTGGCCCCAGTTACGATTCATGACCTGGCATCCTGGAATCATGCAGCTGTGTATGGGCTATTTTTGATGTGCAAGAGTCCCCCGAAAACTAAAAACTGTTAAAAAATTCAAAAAAAAAAAAAGAGTTACATCTAAAGCATCACTGACTCCTCAAGAACCCAGATGTAGAGATGACAAGCCATCCTGTAAAATCACATCACCAGCATTTGTCAAAGCTTCCCCAAACCTCCCAACACAATATCATGCTACTGGTCAGAGAAAAAGAACAGGGAATCTTTTCTTTTAAACCATCATGTATTGGATATAGTAAAGCTTACTGAGAAGACTTCAATTCTCTTAAGGACATTGTGTATCTCTTAGTTCCAGTCCAAAGGAAATGGTGACCATATATAAATAATGGTAAGTTATGACTGTAGTCTTTTGACAACTCCCACATACTAGCAATTGACCTATTGGAGGTGTGGCTTTGCTATGGATAATGAGACAATCCACAGAACGCAAATGAAACGTAAGCTTGGCCACTAGTGTTCAGACAAAAGTGTCTACAAGTTAGAGATATAAAAACACAAGGATCATACAGCTACAGGAGAACACAGTGGGACTTCTAGGACATGTTTCTCTAGGACATTCAGAGCAGTAAGTGGAACAAGGTTAGATTTTACTGTACACTGAGACAGATTTAGTAGGAAAGAAAAAAAAATTAACTGAAAAAGTTGGGGCAGTAAAGTTTGATGTCAAGTATCACATAAGGTAGAGATGAAGTATATAAAAAACAGAAAACAGTCATATCTAAACATGGGAAATTATTCCTGATATTTGTCATTACATTCATGGTATGTGAAAAGTAACTCTCAAATCCATTCATGCTATCAACTGCATACACAGAAAACAAGAAATTGGCTGAATACAGCACTCACTCTCTGGCAACTTACCTTGTATGAAGATCCTATCCCAGTAGGTTTTACCAACTTGATTGCCCCCAAGAAACACCAGGTTGAACAGGATCAGCATTGAGGTGGCACAAGACGCAAAGGCAGCATGCAGTCGTCGGCGAGCTTGTGGGGAGAGGTGTCGAGCCTATGAGGACAACGGCAAGAAGGCACCTCATCATAAGGGTGCAAGAAATATGACTAAGACACCACCCTCTTAACACCATCCCAGGATGCCAGGTTGTTATTGAAACAGATATCAAAACTTCTATCCTTGCAATATTCTGATCTTAGGAAAGAAGGCGATGTATCATTAATGTTCCTTTGTCCTCCCACAATGGATTTCTTCTGACCCATATAATACATGTGTGGAATCTAGTTGTGTTACTTTTCATCACTGTGATCAAATACATGACAAAAACAATTTAGAGGAACAAATATTTATTTTAGCTCATGGTTTCAGAGGATTCATGCTATTGTTGGCTGGATCCAAGGCATAAACATCATGGTGGAGGAAGACTGCTCAGCTCAAGGCATATGTGAAATGGGAGGGGGGGGATGTTCAGGGACAGATACAGTCCCCAGGGTCATGCCCCCAGTGACTGACTTGCTCCAGTCATGCTCTACCCGCCTAGTTTTTACCACTTCTTAGTTCATTCATATTGCTTCATCATCAAATGGATTAATCCACTGATGAGGTCAAATCCTCAAAATCCAATCACTGTACATCTGGATATTACTGTATTGCTAATACATGACTGTGGGGAGGCATTCCAAATTCAAACATAACTCTAGTTAAGACTCAGCAGCACCTCCTCCTGTCATTGAAACATATTCATGTCTTCTGCATATAAACCTGTAGGTGCTCTCCACAAAAACCAGTATAAATAGGTTCATGTCAAGATCAGTGTGGTCAGAATTCAAGGTCAGAGTGATCTTCTGGGCCAGTTAGCTCGACTCTGGGAAGTCAGCCAACCACCCTGTAAACCTGATATATTATTAGGAGGAATCCCAAGACAAAGGTGCAAAAGAATCGATATGAGACAACTCCCCTGCTGGAATCAAGCACAGGACATTCCACTGAGAGCACACAACACCATCTGACATGGTGGCTGGAGGAATGCTTTCCAGCAATCATGATAAAGAATTCCCCTCATCCTTCCTAGCTCTTCATTGTGCTCCCTCTGCTACTCATCTTTCCTCGGGGATTTCATAAAGCAAACGAAGACTTTATTCCTTATCACTGACTATTCTCGTGGCCTCTCCAGAGTGAGGTCACTGTGCTGTGTGGAGCACGCGAGTCCCATCAGCACAACTGTGCATCTGTATATTCAGAATGAAAATCAGATATAGCACCACAGCCATGTACACAGGGCCCCAGAGTTTCTAACAAATACCTTAGCTTAACACAACACAGAAAAGAGAACCAAATGTCACAAGGTATTTCCTGAATATCCTCCAGAAACCTCTACACGCATCTTAACCTCAACTATGCTACAATTACAAACAGAATTCTGGCCAACACAATGGCAGCAGTGTATGCAATATATGACAGTAAAAAGGACTCCCCTAGAAGGTGAGTCTCCAGCAGGAAGTTCACATATCTCAGGCAACACCACCACAGGTCACCCGTTTCAGAGTCCTCTCAATCTAGAGAAACAAATTCCTGACCCTTCCTTTTTCTCTCCTGTGAACCCCAGCGTTGACTATGTAGGCTCAGATCTAGCTATCACATGTATGTCCCCTCAAGGTTGTCTCTTCCAACACCACTTTAGAGCACACTTATTGGCACAACATGTGTTTTCTTTCCATGAAAAAAAAATGTGTAGCAAACTGAGCTGTCTGCCTGGACATGACGTACAAAGCTCTCCAGTGCAGTGGCCATGTCTTGCTTGGAGACTCCAGACCAGCCGACCCCTATTTACTCTCTCTGCTCTAAGAGGCCATGAATGTGGACCAGAGGTTAGATAAGAGACAAGTACATGATGTAAAAATTTGAAATGAGTGAAGGGGAAAGTTACCAGCTTACTATCAGCAATCTTCACCTCTCAGAATAAGGAGATATTAATCTACCAGTTTGTGCATTTTAAAACAGGAAAATATTTTGAGGATTACTGAATCAATTAGCAGTAATGGGAAGTTGAGAAGTAGTCAGGGAAAAAAGAATCCAAAATAATAAATCAAGAAAGCATGACTATCTTAATTGGCATAGTATATCCAAATAATTCCCTCCAGGTACAGGGGCCAAAGATAACACATTTTATTTCTCAGGGACCTAGTGAATCAAAAGTGACCCTCTGTTTTAACCCAGGCAGTCTCCTCTAAGCCTGATGCCCTTGAAGAAGAATTCAAAGGCCCTGCATTATCTTTCTTTTATTAATGTCAACTTCAGAGAGTGGTCATAGTGTGCTTAATCTCAAAGTGGTTCTCCTTTTATACAGAAGGATAATAGTTGAAAAAAAAATCAACAGGTTCTGAGAGAGAGGGACTCTCTTCCATGGGGTTGCTAAGCAGGACTATGTGCTGAAGGTCCTGCCCTTCCATTGGTATGTGCCAATTTACACTTAACAGTCATAATAGGCCAGAGGTGATATACAATATATTATCCTACCGAAGTCCAGACATCAAGAGTTCAGAAACCGCCACTAGGCTGACCTTACACCAACAGAGGAATAACTTCTTGTCAAAGGAGCAAAGAAATTGCGCTTGCCAGTGTTATGAAAGCACTCTGTCCCCAAAACACAGTGTTCTATGTAAGGACTTCCCTGATGCACAATGAGCAAGATAAGCATTCCTCCATGAGGGTCCAAGGTTAGGCTCTATAACAATTGTGGTGTTGTTACCTGGTACAGGGAGAGAGCCCACGCTGTAGCAGGGAGCTGGGCTGAGGGGTGGGGCAAGGGAGAATGAGCGGGCTCACCTGAAGCCCATGGTTTTACAGATCTTCCCTGGATTCTGTGATTACCCTAGTTTCTCACCTACATGATTCAATGCATTTCTGGTTTAGGTTAGGAAATAAAAAGTCAAAATAATAGCAACTGTGAAGGAGCCTCTCTGTTCTCAGTAACAAGGTGGGGTGGCTCTAAACTCTGAAATGACTAACAATAATTCAGTTTTTAGACCTGGCTTTTTCTTTTTGTTGTTTCAGTGAGCAGCATTATTAAAGACATGGGCTGTTAGAATCAGTAAACTTCAAGTATTCAAAAGAGAAGGTACAATGCTCATAGGCAATTCCTGATTATCCCCCAGGGAGAGTGGGTGGGAGACAAAATAGAAGATGATCAAGAAAAATCCCCAAACCTAATTTTAACTAATAGCAGCAACGCTGAGAAAACTAGTTTTGCCAATAAGCAGAATCCAAAGAGCATTGTCTCTTCTCATTGTGAGTCAGTGGAAGAAAGTCATGACAGGCTACGAAGGAAAAAGAGGCTTTATCTGGAAATCCACAGAAGAGTAATACAGCAGTGTCCCCTTTCTCAGGGATGTGTGTTCGGAGATACACTATGAATACCTGCAACTGTAAACAGTACCAAACCCCATATATACTGGTTTTTTTTCTTTCTGTGCCTATGTCCTATGAGAGTTTAACTTATAAATCAGGCACAGTTAGAGATTAATGACAATAGAGCAATTAATACACTGTAATGAAAGTCATGTGAATGTGGTCTATCATCAAAATACCTTAATGTACTATATTCACTCTTTTGATGATGAGGTGATATCCTCATATTTCTGAGAAAAGGAAGTGAGGTGAAGGACATTGGCACCATAACATAGCATTAGCTTACCACAAAAGGGTTACTTGAACACAAACACCAGCAGTCTGGTACCTAGAGGGCTACCAAGTGACCACCTGGTGGGTAGCTACATGCTCGACAAAGGGATGATTCATGTTCCAGGTGGGAGAGGATGGCTCGAGAGTTTATCAAACCACTCAGGACTATAAGAAATCTGCAACTTTGAATTGTTCATTTCTGGAATTTTCATACTGCAGTTGGCTACAGGTAACAAACTGGAAAGGTGAACTGTAGATAAGAGAAAACTATCATAATAACAGTAAAGGGATATAAGTCTCAGCTGCCAATGTCTCTCCTCTTTGGATTCCCCAAACACACTATGGAAAGTGACAGGGATCTCTCTACTTTGGAGCCAAGGTCTTAGCCATTGACTTATAGGAACTCTGGGAGAAGTATCATACTGAGGTGTTCCCAGAAGAAAAATGCCATATGAGCAAGGCCAGAGGGTATACTCCCCTGAACCAGCCAACTCCAACAATAAATATGACTTTCTAAATTCCCCACTTGAAACACTTTGTTTCTTTTGAACCTGCTCCTCTGAAGTCCTATAGCAATTACTCCCGTGTCCCTTCACATCTAGGATGCAGGCTGCTATGAGTGGGAGCCATGCCTCATAGGTCAGCCATCCATTTTCCTGGCTCAGATGCTTGAAAATGCCCTTGAGAAGAGAATTCGTGTGGAGGAAATGTAAAGTAAATAGGAAATATCACAGTACAATGAAAAGCCATGAGGTATGAAAATGAGAATTGCCAACATGATCAGATAAGGCCATGTCTGACAAACAGAACTTGAATCTTATTAATGAATTTATCAGGATTAAAAAACAAGACCTCTGGTCTGGTCATGATCTTTCCCCCGAGAATACTCAAGTCTGTGGCAATCCAATATTTTAGAAGCAGGAAAAAAAACTGGAAGTGGCATCCTCCCATGGGGAATGTTTGTAAAGTTGCTGGGCAGTTTTCATTTGTCTCAATGAATAAGAGGCAATTGTGGATTTTGGTGGGTAGTGACCTGGAACAATAAACATAGTGCAACAAGAATACCAAGTAGAGGGTCTTGATTTAACATTTGAGCAGCCATCTTAAATGTTAACCACCATCTTATAAGTTTTGCTTTCCTGTACTTCCTTTTACCTGAACTCCTCCCATCCCCATCAGTGACCTACCCCATGGCACCAGAACCCTAAGCCAATCCCAGAAGGACATGACCTCTTTGCTCTGGAAAGCCCCATAGTGACATCGATCCAAGCCAATCCCATGCTATTCCCCACCATCCTAGCTCTGACGTAGCACCAGCAGCCTATCCCATAGTGCCACCGCTACAACTTCTAATCCCCACCCCACAAAAGCTG